TGTCAGTCTAGTCATAGTGCCAAATCTATGATTTCTCTTGTGTGCAAACCCACAAATGTTGTTGTTCCACATTGAACCTAATCAAGTTAGTCTCCCATCCAGATTGAGAATTCCATTATTTTGGGGCCTATTCAGCGAGGCGGAAGTACGCGTGCCTTCAAAGGCTCGAGACAGTATGGAAAATAACGCTTCGAATAGTACAGAAAAGGTGGCAGTGGTCGAGTGAAATACCTGAACCAAGAGGGTAGGGGGCGGATCCTACGGGGCAAGAGGGAGACTCTGATAAGGCCTATGGTAAGACGATTGCGGGATGAGGAGGTGAGACGGCCAACATGTGGTGTGGAGAGTTGTCATGACATCCGCTCGTAAGGACACGCCATACCACATTTACATAAGCAAGTAAAATTGTGATATTGAAGAGGTGATACGAGGATATAGAAAAGATTAATGGCCCATGACAGAAGGAAAGATACCACAACTGTTCAGCACACATTTGGTCAAAGGATCGACTTGACTTGTTCCTTTTGACCAATTGTAGTTGGTGCTAAGACTAGCAAGGTTCACTGACGATGCCGGTAAAACGTGTTGGAATGTACCAAGTCCACAATCTGACAATGAAAGTGATCATGAAAACAATGGACTCCGAAAAAGATGCGTTCCTCTAGGTCTTCCTGCCAATCTGACCCAGTTGCGAAAACAACGTAAAACAACGTAAACCAACTTATATACAACGAAAGGAGACTGCGACCATACAAAAGGCCCCACCATCCTGGTTTTCATACTTACTTATTTAATCTTCGAAAAGCCGATCTTTACTTGATATTCTATACACCGTAGAATATGAAAAAAATGAACTACAAAGTTTCGCTATAATTGTGATTCATATCCATCAGTTAGTCTTGAATAACATCCAACTAAAATCGCCCCAGTGAAGATGATGTGGTATTTCTTATTATGATTAAAGTGGGCCTCACGATACCATCGAATTTCGCTTAGTCTTGCATCCAAAAAGAGTTTCTTTTTCAGATCTTAGCAGAATCTCCAAAAAGAATTGAGCTTGGTCATGCGCTTCAATTTGCAAGCTAACCGATTCAATGGGCCAGACGGAGGGTATACGAATTTTTCAATGCAAGTCAGGCCGTTCCCAATTGACACTTTCATAGAGCGATTTCTAATAAGGCAACCATGTATCTGCCAGTGCAATAGACTAGATTACCTGTTTTTGGTAGGGAAGTGCTTCGAATATACTTCTTGCTCACTAATCACAGAGAGTTTTGAAGCATACTCATACGGAAACTAAGAAAGGTCGTCGAATCCAATGATAAATACATGTTTGCCTTAACGATAGCCAACGTGAAAATATGACTTTGGAAAGGTTTTGCTTGTCTTAAAAATCCCATCTGTCCTGTTACCTCCCGGCGACAATTACTGTATCATGTTTTTGTATTTGAGTAGAGTTTCGAGACTACCATTAAATCGGTAATATGAGAGGTATTCACCCTATTTCGTTTAAGGAGATGAAGGATGAAGAATCTTCCCATAATGCTATGAGTTGAGCTGACGTTTCCATTTAATTTCACATAGCCTCGCTTTCCCAAAAGTTGTTCTCATCCAGGTGGGATTGTCGATGTAGCAGACGTATTTTTGCTATAACAATCGACTACGTCATTTTATTTTTCGATTTAAGTATTGTTTCGAGACTAGTAGTAAATCAGTAGTAAATCAGTAGTATTAAATGTATTCACCCTATTTCGTCTAAGCTGATGAAGGACTGATCTATAAAATGGGACTGAAAATTTTCTACACGAAGGAACTACTGTGGAAAGTGTTAATGTCCGTTTATACATTATCCTCATGTCCCGTTTCCTCCTTAGATTATCCTACTTTTTTGCAAGCTGACAGGAAGGCAAAATCTGGAAACGAGTAGACTGGTCCAATCGTCTATCACGTCCCAGATAGCAAACTCCCCTTATCTTGTTACTGACAATTGATGTGTAATTGTCTACTAATTCAAATTAGTAATTGTACTAAAATGTGCATACCTCAATCTCTAATCTCCTTTTCTCTGTGGTTTACGTCTGCTAGACGCATTCGCCTTATTATCATTGCTTCTCTAAGTGATTTTAAAAAAATTTGGATGATCTACTGATGAAGTGGAACATCAGAATAGTGTATAAAGAGAAATTAACACTTTCTTAAATATTTCCTTCGTTTAAAAGAATTGACTTCACTTGTCTGTTTGACGAGTTGTGGTGTGGTGCCACGAATGGCAAAACTCACTGGCGTTGGTGACTACGATGCCGGCGAAACGTCTATAAATGTGCCAACTCCACGATTCAACTCTGAAAGTTAAAATGCATACTATAGATTCCGGACATGATGTTTTCTTCCAGGCCTTTGTGTCAATATGATCATATTGCGAAAACAAGATCAACAAATTCTATACAACGAACTAAGACCGTAACCATATTACAGACCATACCATTATGGTCTTCATGGCATCGTGTAAAAACAATTTTATTGCAGTAAACAAAATTATTTGTAGATATTTAGGCCAAGATATTGCGGCATCTGTTTTAGTTTCTGTCTTCCTTCATTTTATGCTGATGTTCTGACTTCATTTTCGCAACTTGGTCGAGTTGTAATTGCAACCCAGTTGGACGCACCTTGTTCGAAGTCGTCTGCTGCAGTGGTCATGATAATTCTTAGAGTCAGACCGTGAACTCGGTACATTTCCAGACGTTTCGACTTCGCAGTTTGGTGGGAATTATCACAAATTTTATAGCAGAGAACTTCGAACATGGTGTGTCCAACTAGGTTGCCTTGACTACACAACCATGTTGCATAAAACGAGGTCAGATAATTTCCCAAAAAATGTATTTGTTATTATTAAAAATGCGTTATTACGGTATTCGGTATACCGGGATTTTGACTTTAAAAATAACGTAGTCGATTTTAGTGATTAAATACACGTTTTTTTCGTTTGTGAGTAGGTTTTCATCACCTTAAACGAAATATGGTGAGTTTAACTCATATAAAATATAAGTTTGCCTCATCAAATTTCCCGAAACAAGACACTGTAAGCCCTGGTCTTCATTAAAACTCATGTTTTGTGACGAATTTTCATTTTCTGTACTCAAAATTATGAAATGTAAAAGACGATTAGTACAGCAAATATCATTTTGTTTTTATGATTCGACTTTACATTTTGAAGGAAAAGTTGGTTGGAAGGAATTAATGAAATGGTCTTACAGGAAGCCGAATGAGGATTTAATTGGAGTGTAGTGGAGTGTATTGGAGTGAGGGCTTTCGGTTTGTGCAAAAAATTCCATAGCTCTCCATCATGCAACCTCAATACGCATGTGCTAAACTTTCGTCTGTACATGCGAGATAGAAATCATCTGAACAAAAATCCATGCTTTACGAAATGGCCCTAAAAATGTGGCTGCAACCCGTGGTTTAGTATATTTTTGCGCTATCTTGTAAAGTATGGATTCTTGCTCTGAAGCTGTCCATCAGAACAGTACAGACGAAAGCTCATTACAGGTTCATCGGGGAATCGCAGAACGGTGAGCCCAGGCTTTTTTCGCATAATCCAAACGTCTTTACTCCGTGCCAGTCAGTCCTCCTGAGAGTTCAGGTGAGACTTTTTCACGAATTTCTTCCAACCAATCTTTCCTTCGAAATGAAAAATCATATCAGAATATGTCATTGAGAAATTCCTCGAAACTCAGTCCTTCTTCATACCTTCGAAGTGCATGTCCTATGGGCATTGATGTTAGTGTGGCGCGACGGTAACATGTCGAGATTCTGCTCTGTACCACAACGATCCATATTCGATTCTTATTAGGGCTGCTGATGAGACCCAAGCGAGGCCGAAACTTCACTCCAACCTAGCCGGAATAAAAATACCTTTTTTGGAATCTAATCGGTGTGGAATCCAACAGAAATGTGAGGTCTATTCATATGAATGTGGAAAAATGCAACTATCATTCTTCCATCAACTTATGCCATCTAGGATGACTAAAACTATTAATTGTTTATCTCTTTCACAATCTATATTCTATTTGCATAACTAACCAAAATGTTGTTTGTATACTGTCTAAATCTTGCCCAACCCGTCAGACACTCGAATGACCTACTTGACGCCGAAACAGGAGTACTTCATTCTTGGCGAGAAGGTGCAGTGCGACAACGATATCTACGGCACAGACGATGTATCACTAAGCTTCGCCAAGCTGTACGTCAGTCACTCGGAAAGAAAGAACATTATCGCCTTTTCTGCCGGGCAGCTGCTGCGAACTTTGACTGTACTCAAGTGGTACAACGTCAGCTACTCGGTACCGGTTGACGTGTTCAATCCACAGAGCAACTTGATGATTGCCTTCTGCATTGCCAGTGGCACAATGACGAAGCCGAAATTCATAAATGTACAGAGTAAGTCAGCGCCCATTAGGGCACTCGACATGCATACGTGAATTTTAAACAAATAGACGTCCGAAAAACTTGAGATCAACGAATGAGCAGTTTATACGCGACAGACTGACTACTGCTGTCACAACAGTAGTGTCTAGTTAAAAGTCAGCGAATATTTTTGTCTCTACAACAATTATCTG